CGTTTTTCAGAAAAATCCACACAGAAATGAGTTCTTTAATGGGCATGAAAGGCGTTGAACCAAAAAACAAAAATCTGGTAAAAGTTCACAAAACTGCGGAAAAAAGCAAGTTTCTTCACTTTGATTATTTTGACGAGAGCCTGATTCCACCACGCTGCCTCACATATTTGTGAAAATCGATAAGCTGTTAGTTAAGCCGTTTTTTGGTAACATTATTTTTTCAGGAAAGCTTTAACATTGTTATAAAGTCTTTTTCGAGGTGGGGGTGGGGCGGAGGGGATGGGGTTCAAATTTTAAAATAAGTTTTCAAAGACTCAGTCTTGTTCTCGCTGAGAACTTCGTACTTGTGTTTCTTTCTCACCAACAAAGCTCTTTTTTATTCATCAAAAAATTAAATTTGTGAAAACGGAAGACCCTAATCTAATTTTTGATTTTTGTTTTTGGGTCACAGCTGATACAAGCTTGTGTAACACAGAGTGTCAAGGTCATTGACAGACGATGAGATTATGTGGTGGAGTGTTGGAGTACAAATCTCTCCATGGTTGATAGTGGGAGATAGAGAGGGTCAAAGTGGAGTCATTGAATAACGGGTGGAGTATCTTGTTTTGTAATAAGTGAAAACAGAATATTAGGTGGGGCATCGTGGTGAAATCAATCGCTTATCAAAATTTATTAATGAAATCAAAGAAACCGGTGTTATCCCAAAGGTATTTCTTTTTGTTGTTGTTTTTAAAAAAATTCTTTTTCGAATTTAAAAAAATGGTTAAATACCATTTAGGTCCATTTAAAAACATATTTGTAAGTGGATTTTAGTGGGAAAAGTTGATTAAAAACACAAAAAGGGTCAATCAAATTTTCAGCTTCGAAGGACTCTCTAGCTATGGCAGTCGGCCCTTTTCTCGCTAATTTTACGTATGGTTTTGAGTCTGAAACCAGGCGACCACACAATCTTCGATCCCAAATAGGCCTATCTCGACTTTTATTCAAGATAGATGGATATTTTTTCCATCAAAAGCAAGACAAACGGAGAAGCTATAAGATGATACAAATTACTTCATATGCCCAAAAATTGACGAGCGCCTGATTCCACCGCGTCATGACACATACCGGAGTATTTCACGCTGATTGATAGGCGAAATACACTCATAAGTGGTGGGCGTGTTTTGTTTTGGACTGAATAAAAACGTTTCATTTTCTCGGAACTGTTTTGTTCCAAGTGTACTTTACGTATATTATGTTTAAAGTTTAAAGTGCACTTTGGAAAAAAATACTTCGGAGGCGATGATAATATTATACTGGGATTCTGTGTGTTGATTGGTACTGATAGGAATACGTGACGGGGTTTTTTGTTTGGAGTGAGTGAAGGTGTTAACTTTGCCTCTCTTTTGCTGATGCTAACAAAGGAAAAAAGATAGATCTGTGTTGACTTTGTGTCCCAGTTGGAACCTGAGCGTGATTGGGAACAACGTGTAATGTTTATCAAAGTATGATGTTGTGGTTGAACAGCGCCAGCACTGATTAACTGTACGTGTTCCTCAACAGCTTGTTTTGGTCTTTATTAAGAAGTGATGTCATTCTTGTTTGATTTGTGTAAAATCTTTCGTCGGGATGG